TCTGTTTAAACAGTCATGCCTCGACAGAGAAGGAATTTATCTGGAAGGGTTGGTCGGAATACCAACGTTGTCGAATGAGGAGTTCGCGAGTACATATAAATTAGCTCTTAGCGCTGCTCGGCCTGATTTAAATGACCTTCGGTTGCTAAGAGAAAGGTGTGCATATTGTAGAGCGTTTCATTTTGAAACTACAACAGTTAAAAGCGAACTTGGCTCATGTTATCATAATGGCAAAGTTAAACTTTCGCCATATGTTCAATCGCCATTCATTAAAAACCTTTTATTCCGAAATGATGAAAAATCAAAAAATTACAAACAAAATATTCGTTCTTTTAATGCTGCTTTTTCAATGGTGAGTTCAAGTGCAGTAGTTGAAAAATGTAGCTCCGCTGGGCCTTGTTATTATAAAATTAATGGCCATGTACACCATCGTATTGGAACTGTGAAGCCAAACTCAGAAAGGCGACCAGTTTATGCTCAAATTTATATGTATGACACCGAAGAACCTACTCGAATTAGAGGAGAAACGGAAGAAAACAAGGAATGTGGTACTAAGTTACAGCTTTCGGAGTACCTTCAGGAACATAATCCATTTGCGCAAATATTCCGAATGGTAAAAACTGTTATGGAACAACTGCAACCATCGCAACATAAGAATCTGCGAATGATTGTTTTCGCTGATAGAAGTTGTGATCAACGCCGATTCAATTTGCCTATAGCAAATGATGTTGCAGCAGTTTTTAAAGCAGACGACGGATGTCCCGTTGGCGAAAGGGATCTTATTGTATACCCTGTTAATGGTGGACTTAGAAGTGTTGGATGCCAGCACTCATGTATGGACCCTATGGCATATCCTCTTCTCTTTCCATTTGGCGACGAGGGGTAGCATCGAAACATGGCTCACGAAGGAAATCACACCACAGCGGTTCGTAATAAGTTAACACAATTGCAATATGCGTCCCATCGTCTTGCAATAAGAGAAGGGTTCAGCACTCTTCTTAGATCCCAGAAACTTTTTTT